CCCCCCCCCCCCCCCCTGTGGATTTAGTCCCCTTTGGAAGCTTGGAAAAGTAAATAAGGTGTGTTATCGCTGCCAACATGCCTAACTCCCAACTTCCTGGTTCATTTTGACTGTCAGGACTGTCCCTCCTTGTCACAGTCACCAGATATCAGAGCCTCTGTTAATAATTACCATCGCCACACAGTCGTCCCAGTGGCACTTTGGCCTCCACGCTGCAGTGTGTTTGCTGCTTCCATGTTTTTTTTTTTATTCCTGAGATGATGCAGAGACAAAAACTGTGTCCGTAATAATGATTTTATTGACCGTTTCCCCTCAGCCATGCTGTTCCATGCCGTTAGGTCACTGCACAATTGTCCACCAGATAAAGTGTGAAAACTAAAAGGACACCAGGAAGATGTGGGCTGCCGACTGGTAAAGATAAAGAGTTGATGTTGCGAGCTGCGCTACGGGCTCGAGGGAACCGTTACCTGGCAACCAGGAGATCCCAGTTCCTTGTGTGTGTGTGTGTGTGTGTTGTTTGTGCACGGCAATTTCCAGCAACGCTTGCGGACGGTGTTCTTCACCAGCACAACAAAGCATCACAGGGAGATGACAAGTGAAGTCAGCATCACGTGCATCTCGGCCTGTCTCGTGCCCTTCACGCCTGCCCTCTCACCTTTCTGCCTGCACTGTGTTTCTGCAGGGCGGGTGTCTCTGGTACGAGTCACCGACCTGAGGCTGGAGGACCTGCAGCTGGATGACGGGGGCTCGTACGAGTGTCGAATCCTCTTACTGGATGAACCCACAGATGAGCTGCAGAACGGCACCTGGACTCTGCTTTCTGTAACCGGTGAGGTCTATCAAGCAGTGCGTGTTTGTTTTGTTTTCTTCATACGACAAAGTCAGTGATCCTGATGTCAACAAAAGATGATTAATACTAATTAATAAAATTGATGAACAGCATTCAGTCTGGATGTATAAGCCAAGAGCCCAGAATAGATCACTTTTACTTCTCAATTCAATTAATTTTGTAGAGCCCAAAATCACAAATTTGCCTCAGAGGGCTTTACAATCTGTACACGTGCGACATCCTCTCTCCCGGGACCCTCACATCACAGAATGAACAACATAACAGAGTTACAACACATTAAATGCCCATGACAGAAATTATTCATATGAGAGTAGCAAGCAGAATAATGATGGAACAATTACAACTGCTAGTATAAACAGCAGAAGAGGGTATAGTAGATATAACGATAACAAAAGCAGTAATGGTATCGGCAATACCAGCCAATGCGACTACTAATAATAATAATGATAGGAGCAGTGGGTGTTGGGCAGGACCACAGCAGGAGGCAATACCATAGTCCAGATACAACCATGATTCATGGAAACCTGCGTCTTCTCAGTGATAACCCCTGTGTAGGGCTCAGTATTAGTTTGTCTACCCAGCATCCAGCACCAAACGTGATCTGTGTTCGATGAACCGCGGCCTGTAAAGCTCTGCTGCGGACGACCAGGCAGCGACCTCCTGTTTTGAGGAGTGAAAGTGTCTTGAACTTGCATTCTTTCAAATGGCCATCAGGGGGTGACAGCAAAAAGAAGTCAGATTGTATAGAAGTCTATGAGAAAATGACTCTACTTGTCTCTTGATTTATTACCTCAGTAAACATTGTAAACATGAGTTTATGGTCCCAATCTCTAGTTACAAGTCTTCTTCAATACAGCATGATGTTCATTTAGTCAATTATGGTCCATTTTGAGTCAAAAAGACCATAGCGACAGCCAAAACGCCAAACTCAAGGCTTCAAAACGGCAGTTCACAAAGCAATGGCTGACGTCACAATGACTACGTCTGCTTCTTATATACAGTCTATTGCGGACGACACGCTCAAGTCCACGGAACATTGAAGATCCGTCCCCCCTGCTGCACAGAGCGCTGTTCACTTGTTTATTCAAAGGTAATCCCCTGTAATACGCCTGGCAAGTTTGAAGTAGATTGGATGAGCCGTTCCTGAAATATGAGAAGAACACACAGACAGACGGACGGTGATCCCTTGCTTTACAGTTGGATAATAATTGATGAGACTTGTCCTTTATGGTCAGGTTTTATCCCTTTCACAGCAACTACATGTCATTTTCAGACTTGTAATGTCTGTAATTGTACTCACCATCCCAATTAAGTTCAACTGCTCTACTTCCCCAAATGTCTTCTTGATTATCTTTTTCTTTGTTTGTCAAAGAGCACACTACTCTTGCGAGATCATTATCCGGATTGTTGTGTGAACAGAGTTATGACATTAACGTCTGAGAAAATCTATTGATTGCTTTAGTTGAAAGTCTGATTTGAAGGTGAATTTTTAACAAAAAATCTTCTGTATCAACTTCTTCACATCTAGTCTTTTATTTAATTTATTCTGTAAAGCGCTGCTTGTTTCCTGACAGGTGCTGTATGTACACCACTTAAATCTAAACTTTTTTTTTTTTTTGAAAAAGTTGGCAAAATAAACTTCTTGTCAGAAGACTTTAGGAGAACTTTTGACTTTCCTCACGTACATTTTCTGAACCGACCATAGTTATCACCAGTCGTCATGTATTGATAGGTTTAAATAATACATCTAAATATGAAATATGCATCATTACTTTTTTCTGCTTTGAAGTTTATCCGTATTTTGGGAAAAACCTTTGCCATGACACACACACACACACACACACACACAAACATACAGAACAAAGTAGCAGCGCGCGCTGCAGATCAAAGCGAGGTGAGACAGTTTCACAGAGCTGGTCTGTGTGCGTCAGATCGTAGATTATGTCTGTGTATTTCAGGCCTTGGATGTAACATCACTGACATGCCCTGCAGGTACGCTCATCACATCCTATTGTTTGCACTCTGCCTCAACATTTGAGAGTGTTGGTGGCCTCCAGGCTGGAAAGGCAGAAGTAAATCTTCTTTACATGCTGAAGCTTATATCTTATAGGGACCCAGAGTAAGTATTCGGCAGGTGGTTTTCTAATTACACACCAGAGGTTCCCCGGGTCTCTCCTGTGTACAGACAATGAAACAAACATCTCAAGCTGTAAACCAGATAAGAAAAGAAAAATTACTCTGATTATTGCAAAAACAAAAACACTGAAGCCGTTTTCTCTGGTTATTTATTGTGCGAAGGTACAATAAGGGTACGAGTCAGAATAATTGTAATAGAATGTTGAAGTTGCAATGGGTTTGTTTTTGTTTGGAGTTGGAAGTTAAAAGAAAAAGGCTCTCCGTATGTTCTCTGATGAGATCTGAGACTTAAAGTGGCAGCAAAACGTTCGCGTTCGCAGATCTGAAAGCGGCGTAACTGACATTTTCACTTCGGTATATGAAATAATAATGTACCCTAATGTCGGTATACTGAGCACAGGCTTCCGCTGTTGAATAAACTATAGCTATATAAAGATGAGGAATGAGGGAGACAAAAGACGTTTTGCCTGCTAGTCCGGCTTTTGTCTTTGCAGGGTTTTTCTTATCTTGGAGACAGCTTTAGATTTCTCTCCGTATCTAACATTAGAGTTTCTTTCACCTAAATTCACCTTTATTTGAAGAACCACATTTCCAAATGTAGGTTTATTTTTATAGAAAATCTTGGGTTATTCATCTTAAACAGTAGGCGGTTATATAGATGTATAGAAGACGATGTAAGATTTAGTTAAATGTTCACCTTAATACTTTGTTCCATAGCTCCACCCACCTTCACTGAAGCCCCGCCTCCTGTGATGGAGGCTCTGGTTGGAAGTCGCCTCTCTCTTGCCTGTGTTGCTGTTGGCAACCCCACCCCAACCATCTCTTGGCTAAAAGATGGCAGTGTGATTCCAAGAATAAATTATCAGGTTTGTTCTTACAATTGTGAAGGCATTGATGTATGAATAAATGGACTTATTTTCATATGTATCTGGCTCTATCCACTATACATCTGCTGTGTCTTCTGTTTGTACTGTTTCCAGTAGCATATATTAGCAAAATTACCAAAATGCATGCCACTTGTCAACCTGCCCCCTCTCCATCCCATTATTAGCAGAGTGAGTGCAGGGGTGGAATATCAGAATATGTTAGTCCAGCATTCCTGATTCTCTGATCCTGATATCTGAGTGAGGTTTGTGCGAGTCAGAGTCTGTGTCCCCGACCAACTGCTCGTAGAAATGTGAAATGTGCCAAGAAGCCCCAAATACAAGCTGCTTTTTGAAGTGGTCACAATCAAAAAAACTTCAGAAAACACTGTTTTAATGTTCAGCATTTAAAATCTCAATCTGCAAAGGAACTAGTAACTGTAGTCGTAAAGTACTTCAAAATGTTTTTTAAGTACAGTACTTGAGTAAATGTAGTTTAATTTGTACATATCGTATGTATGCAGGTATCTGTTTATCACAGGTGCAGTATGTGTGTGTACCTGTCTGGCTGTCTGTAAATATACCCATGTATTGAATCATCCACCTTCATCATATTTACCAGGACGGAGTCTTATCTCTGCGAGCAGTGAGCATGCAGTCAGCAGGACAGTACACCTGCCACGCCTCCAACTCTGAGGGAAACGTGACTCGCATGACCAAAATGAAGATCAAAGGTCAGTTGCTGCCTGCCTGCCTGTCCTGTCTGTTTTCCTGTCCCGTCAGTCTGCGAGCGCTGCCTGCAAGTTCGTTCAGTGTCTGTGCGCCTGACTGGCAGCGTGCCGCCGCCATTTACATCTCTGTGTTTCTCCGTCTTGCATCATATGACCGAGCGGTAACAGAAACTTGAACTGAATTCTTCAACTCTGGTTCTGTCCCTGTACAGATGATACTGATATCACGATATGAGACGGGTTCTCCTCCGGGGATGTTAGGGCTGGCTTTATTGTGTTTAGCTCAATTTCAAGGCTGCATTTCAGAGGAGCTTGTCGAGGCCGCTGCAGCTGAAATATATTAAATATATTTGTTCAGTCAACAAATTCACATCAATGATGATTTAGTTTGTAAACACAATCCTGGTTGAGTGGGAAATGCGCATTTCTCTTGAGGTATATGGTCAAAAATGTATCATGAGATTTAATGTTTTTTTTAATTTTGACAGATTCACTTACAGATTTACAAAAAAATAAGCGTCCAATGTAAGGACGAATGCGTGTAGAATATGCCACTGTGTGTCATAGGATTACACCGACTCAGCAGCAGTGCATAATACATTGTGGAATGTATTTCTGACTCCTTCCTGCACTCCTACTCCTCCACCTACTGATGATTTTCTCCGGAGAACCAGGACTCGTCTGGAGCGTGGTGCGTGGTGAAAATATTTCGTTTTTGGCATCGCGTTCCCCTGAGGTTTCACTTCATTTTGGAATCTCTTTAGCCACAGTGGTCCCATATTTGAATAATAATCACCATGAGCTCACGCTGCCTTAATACCGCTCGGTCGAAGTTAACATTAACTGAGCTTTTGGCTGCGTTTGTGCGCAGCGGTTGCCACATGGATGGATTATAGGATACTAACAGCTATGTGGATGAAGTCAGACTAAAAGCTTTAAGTAACCTCTAAACTGTCGCCCATGCATATCAAGCATTTTAAGGTCATGAATCTAACCGGTAATGACTGCTGTGGAGGTCATGCGGTTATTTATACATGAATCATGTGGCATGTCAAGCCTCCTTTATTAGCTCTTTGAAAAAAAGGACACGTGCTGGTGTTCGACGCGCTAGAGGGAAGAGATCAATGTGACATTTTAGCTGTCAGGTAGACATTGGTATATTTGACAGCTTAGAGTCTGAGAGATGTTGTGATATAACTTTTTAATTTCGGGAGAGAGGAGGGGGGTTCATTGGCAGTTGTTCTATCGGTCACTTGCCATACAAATTGAAAATCATGATTCTAAAAGCCGTAGCTCATTCTCTCACAACACAATATTCTTGTTGCTTCAATGGTAATTTGGGATTTGTCAACCTGGACCCTATTTTCACATGTTTTTGTGACTAATGGGCAAAACTTTTCTCAGTTCAAAAAGAGTGCCGGTGTTAGAATTTTGTTGGAGAACAGAAAGCGTAGCTTAGCGTTATATAGAAAGATTTTGGCTGAACATTTAGCTGATTTCGACGGCGTGGATGAGCCTGTCAGTGGGGAAAAAACCAGTACATTGATGGTGAGGAGTTGCCCCGAGCGATTACACTACAGCCTGTTTAACAGCTTTTCTTTACAGCGCTCTCCCTCAATACCCGACCAATTCCAGCAAAACGCTGTCCCCATTAGTCACCTGGACACAAAATCATGGGAAGATATGGGTTGAAAAATACAGAAGTTACCCTTGGACCGAGTGACTTTTCCTTTCACGGCGTTACTCCATCAATGTATAAATCCTCACATGTGAAATATTGCACCCAACCAATCTAACCTTTCAAAACACACGTGTCTCATATTTTCATTTATTTCATCTAGCGTTATCTTAATGCCACTAGAACTGATAAGAGGGGAATCTTCAGATTCAGATAACATGGTCATCCTCGAGCTTTAGTATGACTGATGATTCTGAGGTACAGCATGATAATCTGCATCTGAGGTACAGCATGATAAAGGTTACGCTGCGGTATGGTCGGTAAGTCAGACTTGCATCATATTTTACACCTGGTTCCAGTTTAATGTCTCTGTGTAATATGTTGCGTCTATCACCATGAGTCGTCATCATCACGAGTTGATGCAATATAAAAGGGGAGTAATGGGTAGAATGTAAGATATTAAGATGGATTCATTTATATCTTGTGTTTGTTTAAATGGATTGTGTGTCTTTTACCCTCTTTTACCAGCGCTTACTGTGAGTAGGGCCAAGAAAGAGGAAATCTGTGAATAGACTGTTGAAACTGGTGTTTGTGCAACATGAGCTCAATCAGTTGGGTGTAGAAGATATTTGATTTGTTATTACGGGTGTTGAAGTCTCAATGAGAAATGACATGATGCAGACATTTGACTGTCTTGACTGAAGCAATTAGGGACATGTCATTTTGAACTCGGTGATAGATCAATCTGCACATAAAATGTTGATTGGTCCTGACGTTGAGATATTTTTGAGCTATTTTGTGACACTTTAGAGACAGAATGGTTCAAAAGACTAATCAATAAATGAATCAATAAGGAAAATAGTGGTTAACTGCTGGCCTTTTTGTGAATATAATTAATGTGATGTCTTTTGTAACCTGCCTCCCACTAGGTCCACCTGTTATTGTCGTCCCTCCCACAAGCACCTCTCTCAACAAGTCCCAGAATGCACTTCTCCGGTGCCAGGCGGTGGCCGACCCCCCCAACATGACCTACGTGTGGCAGAGAGGAGGCGAGAACGTCCATCACATAGAGTGAGTGAAGTCGTTGACCCTTTGTTCCCAAGCCGTCCAATTACACACATTTGATGTTTTATGCGGTGCGTTTCGGCAGGTAGGGTGAAAGTGTTTGCCTTTTGAGTGGTTTCCCCTTTTCTGTTTTTAAAGTGGTTACGTTTAATTCAAATCTAACCATGCACATTTCACGGTAGAGAGCAAAAACCAAACGTTTCACAGAGAGGAGATGAGAAATAAGATCAACAGAAAGAGATGCAACACAACAGTGGAAAGGTGAAATAAACAAAGGATATTCAGGAAGATCAGTCGGATTGACTTTGTAATTACAAAGATAAAGATAAAATAACAACATTTTGTTCAAAAATAAACAAACCCTCTCCCATAAAGTCTTCTTGCTGTTCCAGAGGTGAGATCTATAGAGACTAAACTGTACTTCTTTATATCCACACAAGCTAAAATCTTCCAGTCAAATGAACCTCCTCACAGGTCTAGGTTTTATTCCATGCAGCTACAGTACATGAGAGCCAGCCCCAGTAGACCAGATGGATCTAGAAGAGACGTTTCTTACAAGCCTGTCTGACATGTACTCCTGCGCCGGTCCACTGAAGGATTTGATAACATAAAAGTTCTTCTAAAACTGACATGGAGAAAGGGGAGAGATGTTAAAAACTTCCCTTTCGGTCTGAAAAAGTCAACTGAAGTCAATTTATTTATGAAACTCTTGACGCTGCTGGGGCATACTTTGCACGTAGGAAAGTCCCTCCAAAGCGGGATTGCTTTTTCAGCCGTGAGTTTGCTGACTTTGGCTTGGGCTAAAATAGCAACACTTAGCTGGCAACTGTAAGATACACACCCCCTTAGCTTTTGGTTATGCGAAAAGACACAGCGGAGTGTCTGTCCCCCGGGTGTGTCTATGGGGACTCCTGCTGCGGTTGCCACGGTACTTAGGCACAAAGTAAAACATTTAAAGAGACAATCTTTCCCTCATTGTTCAATTTGTGTTTTAAAAAAAATGATAATTTATGAAATCGTTTTACTTTTCAATTGGAGTTCAGTGTTTTCCACACTGCGTTTTAACACTGCGTACATTAGCCTGACGGCTAGCAGACTTTTTTCTCATTCGTAGCTCCCCTACTCTTATTTGGTTTAAGTGCATCTCCCGACAGAGCTCCTTGGTTGAATTTCTCTGCCTAACATTGCTGAAACAGAACAACTAATATTGGTCGCGGGAGCAACAAGTTAAGCCGACTGCCGAGTGTTTGAATGCAGCCTCTCCGCTCGGCAGCGGGAACACGGAGATCAGGGGAGAGGGGAGCAACTAGCGCGGCACTAAACAGTAAAACGTAGTGAAGACTGCTGAAAGGAAACTAGTGTACCTAAGTTGGGTAAATAAAACAGGGGGTGGGTCTCCTCCGAGGGAATGGTAGGGGAAACACTGGAGTTAAGTTGTGGCTGCACAAAATGTTCTCACAGGCCAATACACATCTAAAGGCCCTGTTAGACAACTCAAAATTGAGAGGTTTCTTTGGTATACCAGAAAAACAGACATTTGGGGTGGGGGGGGGGGGGGGGAGAGAGAGAGAGAGAGAGAGAATCCCCATGAGGATAAAAGGTGTGTTTTTTTTTTTGCTACTTTTTGTAAAGTTCAAATCGGCATTAAAAAAAAACACACCTAGGTTACTGGCTGTGGGCTTGACATTTTGTTACCGGGGATTTATAAAAAGCGCAGCTTCTCTTATTCGGATTTTTGCACCTCAGTTGAAGGCATTTCAACATCATATCAACTAGAAGTCAACAAGTTGTGTATCGTCTGTTGTTGAAAGTACATGGCTATGGAAGCACGTGTTGTCCCAGTGGCACTGTCTGAAGAATGAAGGTTGCAGATGCCCAAAGTCGATGCACAATAATTGATATTCGCTGGAAAATCTAATGAAAGTAGTGATTCTAATTCAGCAAATCAATGTCGAGGTGCATCACCACATCGATGCAAAAACATAATGACTTAATGTCCTTGTGTTTTGTATTTTTTTTTTTGATTAATTGTATATTCTATGTATGTACATTGAGAGCAATGTGAAAACCGGAGTCCAATTCCATGTATGCGTCACTAGATAAATGACTCTTTGTCATGTTAAAGCAGTGACACAAGCCCACAGGGAAGTATCAGCCACCTCTGTTACAGCTCATTGGCTTTCTTTTTCGGCACATGTACTGTGTGATATGGTGTAATCCAGAGATAAAATAAGAGTGAACATTGTTTTTGGCTTCTCATTGACCCAAATGGCCAAAAACAACCCGGGCTTAGTAAAGACAATATGTGATAGTATCTGCCAAAAGGACACATAGAATACAAACATAAGTAAGATACAGGAAAAAAGAAAGCTTGCTACTTTAAATAAAACTGTTGAAGCACTGACTGAGCTTCTCTGTAGGAGAGGCTTCACAAGAGCAGTGTTCAGTTCCAGAATGAAGATCAGAGTGAGCGGAGGATGGTTGATGATTGCCATGAATGATTGAGCACTCTCTTAGGAAACAGTGGCTGGGTTAGGGTCAGTTGAGCAGGTGGAGGGCTTAATTAGCATTACTTCCCCTCCTGAGCGTTTCTCCATCGCACGTATCGTTGTTCATCACAGCTACACTCCGGTTAATACTCAACCTGATTCGGATGAAGACAAAAGTTTCTGAGAGGCTTTTTGGAGCTACTCTGCTGTTAACAGCTGAGTAGCGCACACTGGGATTATTCTTATTACCTGCTGTGAATTTTCAGAAACAAGCTCTTTTATAATTGCTTTGTTAAAAATAGTGTAGTGCTCTTTGAGAATGTCAAAACCGACTTTCAGTTTGGTTTTTTTCCATTTACTCTCAGTATCCTGCAGTTTTTTTAGGTTCAAAATATCCTCAATTCCATGCCGGTGTTGGGTTTTGAAGTTGTCTTCCTTGCACATGTAGAGTTTATTATAAAACATGATATAATATCATAGGAACAGGGAACTATTGGAGGGTGTACATTATTATTATGCTTACAGCTAGAAAGGGAGGAAGAAATCCTGCTGAGCAGCCCTGACATTTATACAGCTACAATTGCATCTTGTGGCAAAAGTGTGTAACAAAATTGATAGAAAAGCTGATATGCTGGGCTGTTTAAAAAAAAAACAAGAAACATCCAAATATGCTTCTACGACTAGGAAAAAGTGAGACAGTAGATGTGTCCTAAAACTAAATCAGTGCGCTAAACCAGCCTTAAAAGCTCTGCTGAGCTGCAGGGTTGGTGATAATTCTTATAATAAACCCCCTTTAACGTCAGTCATTTGATTCATCGTTGATATGAAAATATTGGTAAGTGGAGTTTGAATACAAGCAGCATTCAGTAACACATTAGTGTGGAGAAATATCCAGGTCGGTGACAGTACGTGAATCATTTGACCTGTATGGTAATTAGCTTGAATGTGTGACTGTGAGTCATCCCACAAACATGTACTGTCAGTGTGCTTGTGTAACCTGTTCGTAAGGTGTTAAGACTCCTCTGGGTTTTTTTAGTGGTTTGTCTTTAAATGTAAGAATGTATAAAATGAGTGGGTACTCCTCCTCCCACTCCAACTGAAGCAAAATGAAATTTCCTTAACCTCGATCTGCACACAGCGGTGAATAACTCGCAGGGAAAAAAACAAAAAAAAACCTCCTACACTATTGATGCGCCGAGAGACTCGACTATAATGGAAGAGCTGAATTACCTCTCACTGTTATTCTGAAGGAGCTGGTGTGTTCTTTGCATATTGAAGAATTCCCGTGTGTGTGTGTGAGGGTTTTTTTTTTTTTTTTTTTTTCTCTCTCGAGGTCTCTGAAGTCACGAGTGAAGATCATGGTAGATGGAACTCTACTCATCTCCCATCTCATCCCCGAGGATTCTGGGAACTACACCTGCATGCCGACCAACGGCCTGCTGAACCCGCCGACGGCCTCCGCCAACCTCACAGTGATGCGTATGTTTCCGTCTGTAGTCGTGAGCCTTCAAAATAAATCAAATACTTCTGCTTTTTTTCCATTTCTCCACACTTTCAACACATCGTGGTTCAACTATGAACTCTACAATCGTTTTTTTATGTTTTTGGCTTCTTGGCTCTGTTTCACCTATAACCACGCCCATCGGTGATGTCACAGTGTGCTGACACGCCCTAAAGTACACTTCTGCATCACTGCAGCAAAGTGAAAAGTTAAACCGCTGGAGTTCAGCAAAGACAAGACTGTGTTCAGTTGCTTTTTAACTCAAGTTAATCTTCTTGCCGTTGCTATAAAGACACTATGAATAAATGCAGAGAGGACCGTTGGCAAAGAACCACAGGCACCTTAAAGTGCCTCTTTCCTCAAAGAGGCAGGAGGCAGTATGAGAGTAATCGCTAACACTATTAAGAGCTTTTTCATAAAGCTGAAAGTCCTTGATGATAGAAAGAGACGGGTAGGAGTGGCCAGTAACTCTCAATGCAGTCTCTAACCATCATCTCTAATGCAGTGGCTTCAGCTGTAGTCACGGCAACCAATTAAACTGTCGGAGAGAAAGTTATCAAACGGTTTAATTTCACACGTCAGAAATGGGAAATATCGAATGTGTGAAATTGAACCGTAGCTGCCTTTTGAAAATCCAACTTTTTTCCTATGTCTTCAGGAAACGTTTTTGGTGAGCCCACTTAATCATTTCGGAAAAATTGCTTTGCCATTTAAATTAGCGGAGATTACGGTGCCAAAACTATATATGTATGAATTATATTCATATCTGTGATTGACATATAGAAAAACAAACATTTTTTGTGGTTGTCAGCTAATCAGAATTGAAAATAGAAGCCTGTTTGTTCACAAATGTAAACAAGCCTATAACAGCATCAGATAACTGTTCCTGTTTAACGGTAATCAGTGTATTAAACGGCATGTTAATCCGCTTGGAAGTGACGGTAGCAAGTCCCACTCATGCGTTTCTTTATCTTGTGGTCGGCCTATTGTCACAGATTGTTCGGTGGTACAATTCACTGTTGTTTTTAGTTCATTGGAAATCCTTCAGACACCGTCAGTCAGCTGTAAATACAAGCAGCAGCACCTGTGACAAAAAGAGTAGACTCACAGAAAATTGGTTTCAGCAAAACAATCTGTTCTCAAAATGAATCGGAAGTTATGGATCGTCGTACAGTTTATTTGCACCAGTACTTCCCCTGGCATCGTGGCAGTTCTTACAAAGTAAACTATTTCCATTTCTTTCCTCTGCTCAGACCCGGCCCAGGCTCTCCCAATGCCGCAGCAGGTGTACCTCCCCGCAGGTATGGAGGGCGTGGTCACCTGCCCAGCGGCGGCTCAGCCTCCGCTGCTCCGGGTGGATTGGACAAAAGATGGAGAACCACTTGACCTGTCCTTGGTAATAAAAAGTCTAATTTTCCACGGAGGTCGCTGTCACCACGATAGTGCCAGACCTTTACTGTGTGTCCAAATTCAAATTTCTGTCCCCGGCTAGCACCGCCACTCTTATTTATTGATTCCTGATACTGCAAACATCACAGGGCACCATTTCCTTTTTAGCAGTGAAATGTCAGAGCCCATGCTGCTGACTACAGCCATCTGTGAGCGGCCGTCAGCAGCTCATCATGCAAAAGCTCTTCTAACAATCGGCCCACCCAACGTCGCCGGCGGAACCGCAGGGAAACCTTTTTCTTGCTGTTCCAGTGTGAAGACCGAGGTGGACGTTACATGTATTTTTTTGCAGGCGTTTTTAATGGGACGTTTTTCGTCTGTCCGGTGATGGAAATATCCTTTCAGCTTTTCAATTGGGCAGTCATTGAACCACATACATCTTAAAGGACAGGGATGGTCAGTGCAATCTTAAAAGCTTTTGAAGCAATCCCCGAGGAACTCCTTACTGTCCGTGGCTCTCTCCTTTTTTTTTTCTTTTTTCACTTCCACCTCAATCTACTGGTCACTGCGTCTGAGGGATGGCTATAGGATCGTTATAGATGAGGGGCAGGGGGTGGGACTTCTCAGCAGTGGACACAAGATTTTATTTTAACCCTTTTCGTTCTCTCGGATCGCAAAACCATATTTGAACGCACTTCTGTTTCAAAACAAGAGCTCAGGGTGGCAGTTTTAAAACCATTGTCTTTTGATCCACCCACTTCGTCCTCCTCCCCCATCCCATGCTGGGTTGATAGCCCCCCCCCCTTACACTTAGTTGTGAGCGATGGACATGTCGTCGGATGTGACACGCCACAGGAAATGTGATACATTCCTGTAGTGCGGGGACGCTGGCGTCGGAGTCCGGCTGTTATTCTGCCAATTATTCCAATTCCACGCTGGATGTCTCAAGCTCTCATACACCCATTAATACTTTCTCGCAGCCTCATTCTGGGGAGGATAATAGCAGTTATTGACTTCATTAAAGGGAGTGGGAACCTTTTTGCACAGTCAAAGCACAACACGAGCCCACTGCTGCGGCTGATTGACACGGAAATTTAGTGTTTTTTAATGCAAAAAGTGATGTTTGGGGGAAGCACTTCAGAGCATTTCTGTTGTGTGTGTGTAGCGATTCACTTAAGAATGATAAATGGAATACCCCAAACGTTGAAGAAAAAAAAAAAATTTGAACAGACCACTATCTTTTACGTGTACTTTAGATATCATCTTGTAAAAGCTGCGACAACATAGAGAAGTTTGGAAATAATCCTCCAGTGGGGACTCAAGTACTGAGCCTCTTCATGACTATGATGGGCAGATATCAAAAAAATTATGTCTGTTAAAATTCTTCACACACAGCTGAGGAGCTTACACACGTATGGGCTTATTTCCTGCCTCGTCCAAATTTTGTTTTTTTTCCTGCCATTAATGCTTTGAATATCATTCAGAACAGCATGTGCAGGCCTTTTCTATGCAGCAGCCAGAGTGGTTTGAGTATTGTGTATTTCTTTCAGTATCCAGGATGGACCTTGACACCCGAGGGCTCTTTGTTCATGACCACAGTCAATGACGATACAGCAGGCGTGTACACGTGTACCCCGTACAACAGCTACGGCAGCATGGGTTCATCTGAGCCAACGGACGTTATCCTACAGGTCAGTGTGCGCTATGGGGGTCTCCACTGGGTCGCTCAGCGGAGACGAGCTGTGCGTGTCATTTAAAAAGACTCACTGTTCAAAGCTCACAAACCTGCCACTGAGTCTGTCCTTGTAGTTCTGCTAAACTGTCTATTTCGACCACCGTGTGCACATTTTTAATTGGTCACAACTGCAGCCGTCACGGCGAATTCAAAACTTATCAGAAACGACATTTTATTGACCTTTTCACTCCTGACATCTGAGCCCTCTGGCATTAATAGAAGTCAACTCAGACTCACTACAGTGGCTCCACTATTGGAGAGCTAATTGTGCGGCTAATCCTTTTGTTATTAAGATAATCAAAGCGGCAGTAATCCGGTCTTTAAAAGACATTGTTGCCATTGCTGCAATCTCCTTGGTTTTCGCTATATTGCTTTGGACATCCACAGGACCCCCCGTCATTCAGCGTCGCTCCAGAGAAGCAGTACAGACAGGAGGCTGGTAGAACCCTGCTCATCCCCTGTCAAGGAAGCAAGGACCCCACAATTAAAGTGACCTGGAGCAAGGTAAATTGTCCAGCATAGGTGATTCAAGTGGTCCTGTTTTGTTCATGGCGCTGCAAATGCTTAGAAGGTGGTTTGTTTTGTCTTGTTGTATGGTTACCCTTTTGCACTATTCAAAACTTAGAGGAATATGTGTTTGAAATGGGTTTTAATTCCTACAGTATTCATCCAGTCTGGTTGTCTACACCTGCTGAAAATAATAATTTAGCAGGAAAAAAAAAAAAGAAGATTTTCCAAGGTCTAATTGTGTCTCTTGGTATACGAAATATATGCTAAAAGATATCACTGGTAGGTATTTTTCCAAATCCCTCTCTTTTCTCTTCCTCGTATAGATAAATGTATTGTATGACATGTGGTTTGGGGCGAGAAGCTAACCCGATCGTGTAAAACTGCACTTGACCGCTAGCAAGTGGGTCGCAGTTTCTAGCAGAGCCATATCATGTGGGAGGTGGTTGTCAGCTGGCAAAAACTTGGTTTACATTACCAATGGAGCGTGTTTGAGGTAGGTGGTTTTGAGGGAGGGGTGGATGGACGCCAACAGTCCTCTACAGCTCTAGGATTTTATTAAATTAAATCCATCTTGTAATTGTACCCCGCCCACATATTCCTTTTCACTTAGAAATACAACACGTTACGTAAGTTATAGTCGCTCCAACTGTTATCTTCGGTGCAACTGTAAGCCGGGCTAAAGATCCTGCTAGTCCACCTAATGGTTGCAACATGCTCTGTACACACAACCTCTGCAGTTCACAATGCGGTCAGTATTCGGTTTTCCATGAAGATTTAGTAAGCAGTTGCTCTGGAAGTCGGCACAGTTAACATCTCATTTTAGCATGCCTAAAGGGTTTCGAATCCAGACACACAGACGATGGGACCAGAATCCATATATGGTATAACAGAGTGATTGTGCAACCTCCGGGTCATTGTAAAAGTGCCTTAAACTTCCATTCTTTCTAATAGCCATCAGAGGACTCCTCTGGTTGCAAAAAGAAGTCTGATTGTATAGAAGTCTATGAGAAAATTACCCGACTTATCACTTTATTTATTATTTCAGTGAATATTGTAAACAAGTTTATGGTCTCAATCGCTAGTTTCAAGTCTTCTGTAATAGAGCATGATGTTGATTTTGTAAGTTGTGGTTCCATTGAGAGTAAAATAGATCATAAAACAGGGTATACCGGCATTGTCCGGTCTGGGAGTTTTCTGCATTTTTGTCTTGCAACTTTAACTCTTTTTCAGTGTTTTCAGCTCATGAAACTAAAGTGTCACCATTTTGTTGCCTAAAAATTGTATTCAGTGTTAGATTGTACTGAGCTCCACCCTTTCTTGTCACTTCTGGTTGTAAAAAGCCAAGATGGCAGACGCAAAAAAACCCCCCAAGGTGGCGACAGGCAAACTGTCGTTAAAACGGCAGTCCACAAACTAATGGGTGACGTAGTGGTGTCTACGTCCACTTCTTCCATACAATCGATGGTAAAAAAACTTGTAGGCGGCACCTATGGCAAATAATGGTGATTGCAGATGCGTTTTTTCGATCACCCTTCCCACAGATCAAAACAGTGTGGCCTTTTCCCAGGGAATGTAGCACAGACGTCCAGTTCGTAATACTTCAAATGCGAGGTTTTTCATCAATGGGTTATAGGTTCAATCACAATTGTGCTTCATTGTGCTCATCTTCCAGATTATTACTTTTAAGGTACTTCTGTATTATTTCAAATCTGCAGTAAAAAAAAATGAAAGAAAACCTGTCACTTGCATATTAGTGCCGCACAAGATGACCTAAAATCGACATCACAATACAATGTCAGACTTACCTTGATAACGCGAAATGTAATGAGAACCTTTTAGCATATATGAATTGTATCTCCTTACTGTGTTGGCTCAGATCTGATTGTTGTTTGGGAGTTTTTGTGAATCAAAATATATTGTTAAATAACAATGAGTAATTTCAGCTAGAGGAGACATCCATTCTGTTAGTAACTTGATATATTTTATTTATCTATCATCGCAGCTGAGCACTCTATATTATGACGGATGAACCGGAGAGTTTTGTCCCATGTGTGAATGATCTTTGTGTTCTCGGTAGGTCGACGTGGCTCGTCGCACTTCATACTCCGTAGAACCCAACGGTTCTCTTCTCCTGCAGCCTCTCACGAAGGACCACCAGGGGGCGTGGGAGTGCAGCGCCGCTAACCGCGTAGCCTCGGTGAAAACCAGCACACAAGTCTTTGTCCTGGGTGAGTGCAAACAGAAGAATACCAAAAAACTGTCGTCCAAATACGTGAGCTGTCCTGACTTTTTTATTTATTTTCTTCAAAATGTTTTCCATATATCTGTGTAAAACCTCTCTAACACATGCCTGTGCCTCCACTCCGCCCCCATCGGATAAATGCGGTACATCTAGAGATGGCCTCTGAACTTCAGCGGCATCAGGTAGTTGAAGTTCTGGCAATTATCCATCAGCTCCTCTCCGTTTCCTTCCATTACAGGAACCAGTCCCCATGCGGCTACCTCTCTGTCCGTCTCTCCAGGGGTGAGGCAGGCCAACGTTTCCTGGGAGGCAGGCTTTGATGGAGGATCAGCGCAGACATTTTCAGTTTGGTGGGTGTAAAGCCTCTCACTTTCTTCCTCTGTAACCATAGCAGCCATCGGTTGCACTGGTATTACTCTATTGATCTCTAGGATGAGGAATTCCTTCATCTGTTATCACCTCTTGGCAGCTACAATAAAAAAACCCCCGCTGCTGCAGACCATGGCTTTATAATGCAGTGGCTATTGCTACACGAGGTTACTGAGAAAATAAGAGCAGAATCTGCACTTTTGTAGTGGCTTAGGAATCCCAGATGAATGTCTGGCGTTTACTTGAAGTGTGGTCCATACGCCAGTGTTGTATAATGAGTGAGAGATGGACAGGGTATGAAGAGGAATGTAAAACTGCAGGCAGCTGGATGAAAATGAACCAGACAGGAATGGGTTCACAATTGTGTTACTGTTGTGTTGTACTACAGTTGTAATATGTGAGAATGATGATCTCAAGAGGCAGGTTATTTTAGTGAAATTAGGTTTTGAAGAAATGGGATTCACTGAACTGTATTTAGAGTTTCCTGTTTGTTTTTTTTATGTCAGAGAGTGCATGATATGATGTACAGAAAACTTCTCCTGATGCGCATCTTAATCGCATTGTAACCTTGGAGCGCTACATCAGATGAAGATGAGATGAGCTATCTTACTCCCTGAGAGGGAACTGGGTCATCGCTTCAGCATCGAAATAAACATAAATGACATTTAAAAAAAACACATAAAAATAGATCAGCCAATCGGTGTAAACAAAAACCCTCTAAAGTCTCAGCTAGTCCGCACTCTGACAGCCTGGCATGTTATGACCGTACAATATTATGAAGCGAAACTCGCTGTTATGAGAATAACAGCTCAACACGAATGTTTTACCATTGACATTTCGGACGCAATGTTTTTTTGTTTTTTTTCTCATAAAGGGGGAAAACTGCAGCAGATAGGTCTTGTGAGCACTCTGTGACTTCCAGCACATGAAATGTTAACGATCATGCAGTTGTGTGGCAGTTGTGAAACCTCCGTGTGTGGATATTCACACCATATACTTTGTAAAAATTCAATAATACAGAACAGGATAAAGGTAGCTACAAATCTCACCTATTGCTCCAAGAAGGCGTGTTTTTGGTACGACTTGCTCTATGCATCGCAATAATATATGCTGAATTCAATTAACGCTCAAGTGTCTGGAAGAGAATAACCTCACTACCATCCACACCATGTTAATGTGAGCTACACTGAGCTTTTCTGTTTTCTCATAAAAGAACATAACTTCAGTCGAGTCAAAGCTCTTCAAACCCCACCCCCAAAAAAAAAGACTGACATTAATAATCTTCAAAAGTTCCTCGAGTTTTGAATGGGTGAATAGATTTTTTCAGCCTCTGGGTCAAGTAGTTTGCTCTTCATAAAATAGACATGTAGAACCTCAGCTCCGATAGGAACTCGGAAATCACCATCATTTGAGTTGCAAGCCCTTTGTGCAATAGCAGGGATACATCAGTGCTGTCTCCACCGCAAAATCTGGAGCTGATGATGATTATGAATGATTAATGAAACCTACTTTTCTGTCATGTTTCATGAAACCATACTGCCAGAATTCCCCGCCGCTCTTTTGTTCTCACTTGTCTCTCCTCTCTCTCTCCCCGTCTGCAGGGTGAAGAAGACTTCAGCTGGTGATAATGATGGGCGGCGGGACTGGTTCTCCGTGCCCGTGCCCCCCTCCTCTGGCTGCAGCCTGCAGGTGACCGGCCTGTCTCCCGCCACGGACTACCAGTTCAGCGTCCTGTCTCACAATAAAATGGGCACCGGGCCCTTCAGCGAGATCACCGACACACGCACCTCGGGTCAGTACCACTCCCCAGTTTCCCCTAAATCCGTCGCATATCAGCCTTTTACATTTGGGATCCAGTCGCAGGTTTGCAAAACACTCACTGAGCAAACAAATCTCATTTCAAGTGTTGTACTTCTCCACTCGTTACTTCACCCTTTTTTATTGTTGTGTATGAACAAAGCACAAAACATTTGGGGAGCAGGCGTTTCATTTTAAGCCGGTACTGACTATCACTTTCACCGGTTGAAATGGCAAATCAACTGATATCAACTGTAGCTGATTTAAGTTTATTTCCTGAGTAACTTGCTCAAAGGCCAAACTGTTGTGTGGTTGACACACTACTGTACTTTCAAGCTTGTGTTAATGGTGCATAATTTGGAGGTGGTACTTAATGTGTATAATTGCCTGCCACCACCATGGAAACAATTTTACGTTACGTTTTGGCAACAAAACTAACTTTAGGTTTGGGCAACAAAACCACTTAGCTAGGTTTAGGAAAACCATCATGCTTGGGTTTAAAATATGAAATATGGAAACATGATAAAAATGTGTGCTATTTATTCTGAGTGTTGCATATTTACACGGATGCGCTTAATTTCTGTGTGCACCGCAACAAAGGATCCTAATTGATCCACGGGCACAGACTCATTGTTTCCACGGCTCCGACACGTAATTGTAACAGATTACGTGCCACCACCACGAAATGTGCTGTTAAGAGGTCGTAGTCATTTTACATATTTCTGTGAGACCAGGTTGACTTGGTAACATAGCATTCTCAACACAAACCTAAACATAATTATTTAACATGTTGGTCTGCTGGTTCACCACTTTGATCCAAACTGAACGCTCTCAACAACTATTGGATGGATTGACAACACTTTGATGATCATCTGAATGAATGTCTGGGACCACCATCATGTCCAATACTTTGGTTTATGACCAAATACCTGCAGAACTAATGACATGCTGGACATGTGCTAGCATGCTAAACTAAGACGGTGAAGATGGGTAAACATTATGCCTGCTAAACATTAGCATGTTGGCGCTGTCAGACCCTGTTAGCATTAACCTGGAAGCACCGCTGAGACTAAACACAGCCTCACAAAGCCACTGGTGTATCTGTTTTATCTGTTAACCAGCAGCGGATTGTATCCTCAAAGGTATATTCATGATCCTGCAGATGTCTACAGTCTTCCTGGGTTGATCAAATGATCACCTGGGGGGAAATCAACATTTATATCCAGTGTTTCCACATATACTCTTTTACAGTACTTTTAGCTATACGTATGCCTGCCTATGGCAGCCCAGGGCAGTGGCATAGTTTTGTGGAAATGTTGTGAGTTAAATGCTGATTTGTTACTGAAATGTGGATTTTTACCCCTGAAAAGAATTGATCCTTCCTGGCAGAAAGTAGACATCTAAAAGATCATAAAATCACAAACCTTTTAAAGACGCAACCCGGTGCTGCACAAGAGTAAAAAAAATATATATTTAGATTCTTTTCTTTCACGGTTGAAATCTCCCAATATAACTTTTATGCATAATCAGTCATCAATATTTACAGCTTATCACCTTCTGTGCTGGTATCAAATGCTAACTCTACAAATATTGTGGCCAAATACATGTATATCACACAAACAGTGTCATGAGGATATTAATCAACCCTTCTGATATTTTAAGATGAGACCTGAAATATATCAAATCCGCCTCCCACCATAATGGCTTCTGGGTTGATTAAAACGTAACAAAACTGGGCAATACACTGTATGTTTCACCATATGCAGACTCTGCAAAATAACTAGCATCCACCCCAAACCCAACTCCCCTCACACTCTCAATGTTGAACATCTGTGGCAGTAGCAATTTCCTCCACCGTAATTTAATTTTTCCACCAGAGCGTGTCTGGCTGATAGGCTGAAGGTCTTTTATTCCCGTGCATCAGATCCTCCGCCGAGGAGAAGCAAGCTCATGCCCCCTGCGTCGCTGTCGGCTAATCAGGGCTCAGCAGGTGTCGTTCTGCAGTGGTCCCTTCCTGAGGCCCAGCACCCTCCCATCACAGGCTTTGTTCTCCAATCCCGCGCCGAGCGAGGGGAGTGGTTCCATTTGGACGAGGACATCGGTGCCAACAGCAGCGAGATGGTCGTTCCGGGTCTGCACAAGGTAACAAGCCAGTCGCGCTGCTCCCTCTGGGACTAATCAGTCCACGCTGCTTGTTGAATGCCTGCGAGTACTTTTTTTTTTATATCTAGGCTCTCAATTATGCACACTTCATGGCAGCCATCAATTTTCTGTCGCCTTTCAATCTGTGTGCGCTGGCGTTTTCTCATCCTTCTTTTTCCTCTCCTATGTAGGCCTACACAAATTCAAATGAACTTCATTAGCATTGCAGGCACAGTCCCGTGTTGACAAAGTGTGGTTTCATCCTGTGTGTGTGTGTGTGTGTGTGTGTGTGCGCGTGTGTGCGCGTGTGCGTGCGTGCGCGTGTGCGTGCGTGCGCGCGTGGACGCTGGTCTCAGGACTGTGTGTACGAGCTGCGGCTGCTATCTCGTCGCGGGGAGTTGCTGAGCGAGCCCAGTCCATCAGTCAATGTCTCCACCATGGGTAGGTGTTCGAGAGCAACCTTGCCCCTTTTGCATTCTCACCCAACCCTCCGTTTCCACCCGCCCTCCTCCTCTCTCTGTCTGACTCTCTCTTTCTTTATTTCTTCCCCCGTCCCTCTTTACGCAGTGTTGGACCAAAATTAGAGCAGGCCCCGGGGGAACGCTGTCCATTAGAGGCCTGAATGATAGAAATAGCTCCGCTAATAACTTCTCAAAAGTGTTAGTGAGAGAATTTGCACTGGTCCTTTCTGACTCTTGTGAGAATGTGACATGAATGTTTCATTGGATATGGTACAGAGATATTGAGCGGAGGGATGTACAACTCCCACTGGTACCACCCGTGGACTGCCTCAACAATCAGAGCTTGTGTATTGTTCAACATAACTCCGCTGATATTCTTAGTTTGATGTCTGACTGAGCAAATGCAAAACAATCAAATTCATGATTTGCTGATGATGATCAACAGGGAGATTAGATTCACTTAAAATTGGTTAATACCAAACCTCATAGTATATATAATTATATAATAATCTGACTACATATGTATACGCGCACATATCTCAATTATAATAATGCATGCATTATTTTAAATTAATTAACACTGAATGCATTTGAATCAATTTAAAGTTTAAAAGGATAATTAAATATTAAAACATAAATGTTTAACATTTTTGTAATCAATACACATTAATACTTTTTTATGAAGTAGGAAATTGCACAATAAATTAATTTCAAAACATGTATTTTAAAATGTACTTTAAAAAAACATTTAGATTTAATTATATTTGCATTTTTAAAGTTATCTTTATTGTCTCAGTGCGTGTTGCTTCTACGGCAAGCATGTGTTTTTTCTGGTCCTTTCATTCATTCATCATTTCGTTGGTTTATATGGTTATTGCTGACACTTTAGTCTCACTTGGCTTGCTTTTGCTTTTAATTAGTAACATATCTATATGTGTATCACTGCTCAAATGATGTCACAGGGATGGAGATCTACCCTGCCACATCCCGACTGCTGGAGCTCGTCCCCGAGCCGTTACTGGCCGGCGTGCTGGGCGGGGTCGGCTTCATGTGCTTGGCACTGGTCTTGCTGCTGGGGTCCGCCTGTGTCATCAGCCGCAAGAGGGACCAGCGTCTCAGAAAGAAGAAGCACGGTAAAAATGCCCCTCACTCCGGAGACTCAGCAGACACTCACTTTGATGAACTGCGTCATGAATAACATCATTTATTCAATAAAATATTGAAGGCACTTTCAATCCTTTATATAAATCATACCCCACTGCATGGATTTAGCGCTCCTCTTGTCCCCCTGCTCATCCATTCAGTTGTAAAAGTTATTGATGTCATATACATTACTTGCTAATTAGGATAATTTCTCATTAGTGGTTGATAAATGTAAGTGTAATTAACATTTTGGACAAGCTTGGGTGCCTCGGGCCCTTTAATGGGCCCTTATTAGGGTTGATCATGTTTTTACTTCTTGGTCAGTGTGGTTGTATCCTAATGAGTCAGATACCATCTTGCCCCTCTCCCTCCCTTTCAGAGCCCCTCTCTGTCATCTATAAATGCTCCCCATCAGTGTAAGTACCCCTTTATCATTTCATTATAAGGCCTCCCATTGACCTTTCCCTCTGCTTCCTTTAAAAACTAAATGTCGAGAATGCCAGCACTTGTTTTTTTTTCCATTTCAGATCTTCTTTTTCTTCCTCATCTATTGCTGCCGCCGCCGCTGCTGCTGTTTTAGTCTTTCTCTGTCTACATCTCTCCCGCCCCCTCTTTCACTCTCACTCAATCGTATTTTTTCTGCCTCTATTTCTCTCCCTCTTACACTTCCGTTTTTTTTTTTTTCTTACAATTTTCTTCTTTCACCCCTCCCTCCCCCTCTTTCTCTGACTCACAGAAAGACTTCCGGCACTGGCAGTCCAGACAGTGTGTTGAAGACGAGCCTACTTCCAGCCAGCATCCTCTATCCCACCACTTCCTCTACCACCACCTCCTCATCCTCACAGACAGACTATTCCTCCTTTAGCGCTGACAGTCATCATCGGCAAAAGCAACTCCCGTCCGCCCACGGCAGAGGCCGCCTTACGAGGACAACTTCTTCTCCGATTCCTTCCGCAATCGAGTTGATCTCCAGAGGCACGGATGGGCGCTTCGCACTCCTACCGTACAACCATGACGCGCAGAGTGTTCCCATCAAGGAGAGTGGAAGGTATGACCAAGCTCGAGTCCGAAGGTCTGTGTCAGTGCACTCGGATAGGGAAGACAGGAAGCAGCCAGCGTTTGTGCTCTCTGTTGATGTTCCACCTTGCAAACCAGCAGAGGCTGATTCCACAAAGCAAAGTCTTGGCCTCGCCCAAGGCTTGTCCCATCACAGCTCTTACATCTCGGATCAGAAGGAGAACTATGATGGCTTTCCTGACTTCAACAGCCTGGCTTCAAACAGTAGTTTGGCCACCATTCCTTATCAAGACAGAAGAATAACTCCCACATTTCCAGTGCTCCCACACATCCGGTCTGGCCTTGGTCAGCCATCCACGACCGCCAGCGCTCTGGTGCTCCAGATGGAGCATGAGAGGGAGAGAGGAAACCTGAGTCGCTGTCTGAAGCTGGCTCGGGAGAGGGAGGAACTGGAGAGGGAGCTCCAGAGGTACACTCTGGACAGGGGCTCCATGAGAGAAGTGAAGAGGGAGCATTGCGATGTGGAGAGCGGTGAGGTTGGTGGTAAGGAGCTTGTGTGGGAATATAAAAGCAGCACGTTGCCCCACAGATTTCCCCAGGGCATCAAGGAAAGCTTTGCTCTATCACAGAGCCCTTTTTCTTCCTCTTCTGTACATTGGGATGTCCGCCAACCTCTGACTCTGATCCCGGCCCGGACCTGCTTCAGTGCGTGTTCAACCGCGAGTTCCTCTTGTTTTAAGTCCGCCGACCTTCATCCTGCCGAACAGACCCCCCTCCTATCTCAGGAGGTAGGCAGCTTTTCCAAAGGCAGATTAACTCTCCCACATCTCTCCTCAAAGCACCAGAGACATGAAAGGGTAGAGGCAGCACCAGAGGGCTATGATAATTCACCACAATCCACAGTCTTAGTAATGCAAACGAATGATTCATGCTGTGGGGCACGGAGACAGAACAATCTTAGTCATGGCAGCATTTCAACGTCGTCTTTCCATAGCAGTAAATACATTGAGGGATCTAATTGGGCTGCCAATGGAGTGCCAGACTCCGCAAAAGCGGAGGTAGCGTTCCCTCAGCTCACTGATGAAGAAGTGTGTGTCGAGATGAGCGTGGATGAGCCAGAGTTGGAGGCGTGTGCAATGCGGCCTGCGAAGCCAATGCTGCACGACAAAATCGCCTCGCATGTGCAACATGGGCGCTCGCTGACTCGCAGAGGTCGCCGTGGGGACGCGAGCAGGAGCGCAAGCTTTCACTGCAGCAGACCTGCTTCTGTGGACGATATTGTCAGGGTCCCAGCTGCTCCGCAAACTCCAAAACCAGAACCCCGGAGAGCTGGGACACATTGCTCTAAACTCTGGGACTCTAAGCAGCGAAGTCAGAGCCTTGACTCACGGAGACGGAGAGAGAGCAGTTTCCTGCCTCCTGATGCGTGGATAGACTCTCTCAGCCAAGAGAACTGCTCTGTTGCGTCTTCACGTCATCGAGACACTCTGTTCTGGGATCCCCAGAGATCTCTGACCAGGAAGATCTCCAAATCTCCAGCAAGTACTCCTGCTACCCAAGCTGCCTCCCGGTCACCTCCTGCTGTGGATGCTTTATCTCTAAGAAGCAGACCAGAGAGGACCATACCAAAAGCTGACGTGCCTTGCCACTGCGAGCCAAGAGGAGAGGCGTTCATCGTTCCCAATGCCGCCAAATGGCCAGTAGACTACCGGGAGGCCATGAAAAAGGCAGTAGATTCCTTGGAGGCCATGAAGGAAGCTTCCAGATGCTTACCACCCGACGACTATTACCAAGAGGCACTAGAGGTGGAGGCGGGGGGCTACGAGGTGCCAGAGTCCGGGAGCAGCTACAGCAGTTATGCCAGCAGCGGGCGAGGCAGCATGGAGCCCGCCAACGGACGCCTGTCCCTGTGTCACCTTTCCCCAACCCTCACCAGCTCACCTGAGACCGTAGAGGAGGGCCAGGGTAGCACAGAGGACAAGCACAGTCACCAAATGGAACCAAGCCAAAGGTATTAGGGACATAATGAATGAGGGGAATTATGCTTTATTGAAGAAAATATGAAGGCTAACATTTGTAGTGCTGGAGGATCCCTTGTGGTCATTATAAGGCTTTGAAATTGAGCCTAATATACACTATATTCCTATATAATTTATAGATTGCAATACAGAAAGTTTAGTGTGTTTTCAGAGTCTGATTATCTTTCACATACCCAGTTAATACCCAGCCAGTTTCATAACAGACATATTCTTTTCTTTATTAAGTTATTTTACGACTCATAATTAAGTGAGGGTCAAGTTATGTTTGAAGTAACGGTTGAGAAATGTCAAAACAATATAAAAGCAATAAATGTATCTGAAACAAGCATGGATGAATCGCATAAAGCATCATGTTTCATTACTCTAGTGGCTAAGTTGATAGCAGGGCCGTCCTTCAATCAGAGGATCGGCGGTTCGATCTCCGGCTCCGCTAGTCGCATGTCGATGTGTCCTTGAGCAAGACAACCCCAAAATTGCTCCCGTTCTACGGTGTAGAAATGTGATAGAATCTGAATTGTAAGTCGCTTTGGATAAAAGCGTCTGCTAAATGACTGTAATGTAATGTCCTGTAATACTCTGAGACTGGATTTCTTCAGTGTATTTGTGCTGTAGGTAAACATTTCATTGCTTTTGTAATAATGAACACACCTTTAAAGAAGCAGAGTCGCATGTTAAAAGAAAAGTCAACACTTATTTTAATGTAGGTCCTTTATGATTTATTGCGAGTTCTTTGTCATCGGTAAACATTAATGAGTGCGTCGATGCCTGCGTTGAACTGTGTTTATATACTAAGTGATGTTTTGTGACCTTTCCAGGAGAAAGGCCTCAGTTGATGAGAATTATGAGTGGGATGCTGCTGATTTCAGCTCACAGCCCGGAGACCATGACGGTGAGTGTTTTTCTTTCCTTGTTGAGCAACAAGCAGTTCATGTTTTAACAAGATACATTTGTCTGTTTTGGAATTACAAATCAATACAGTGTACAGTGTTGAGGTGAAAGGAAAAAACAAACGCTGGGCGATTGTTGTGAAGTTGATCTTGATTCTTCCAAACGGTATCTTCCTCATTTAATCTGCGGGGATGCCATGCTCCCGAGTGGATTAGAACATGATAACATCTTTCTAAAGATGGAGAAATTGTCACTGGACAGGGGTGGCCTGTGGTTTTTGGTATATAACTTCGGTCATACCCGTTTTGGGCTCACCGTACCTTCCTTCCAAAAAGACGCAGAGAACAAGAGAAGTGAAGCCAAATCAGACCAGAGACGTAAATAGTCCCCTTCATCGCCTCCTACTCGCGCTTCTTCCGCCGCCCGTGCTCAGACCACACCCATCAAATCCCCCCCCCACCACACACACCTTGCTCAGACCACGGCCATCTTTGAACTCAACCTTTATTTTGATCTCAAGTGCACACCTGTAAAGTTTGATGTCTGTGTCTTGCACGCTTTCAACGCTATCGTTTTGACAAGATCTATTCAAAGGCAGAAAAAAATAACGTCTGGTAAAGTACTCAAAAGTGCCTCTGTGATGGTTCCTGCTCCAGTAGGTGACTCCGGGGCAACATTTTGCCATGATGACTCGCACACATGGACTCACAAGGTGCTAGGCTTGTGGATTTTCTCATTGTGAACACGACGAGGATAAAATGTCAGTCTCAAGCTTTGGTATCAGCGTTTAGAGGGTTCGCGGTTTGAACCCGCAGGTCGTCTTGGACCCTTCCGTGTGGAGTTTGCGTACTGTATCCTCACAGGTTTTCTCGCGGTCCTCCAGCTTCCTCCCACAGTCTACAGACATGCAGCTTTGGTGGATTGGCGACGCAAAAAAATGGCCCGTCGGTGCGAGTGTGAATGGTGGTCGTCGTCTCTGTGTCGGCCCTGTGATTGACTGGTGACCAGTTTGTACTCCACCTTGTTCTAATGATTTTAGTGGCCCCCAGTGTTTCCACATTATATAATAACAAATACTTTTTTCAATGAATGTATTTAATCAGTGATATAGATGACAATATATATAGTATACATATTCAGTATTTACTATTACATTTGGTGTGATTTATATGTAGTATAGCGTTCCCTACTGGCTCAAATGTATATTGGGCAGACTTAATGTGGCGTGCAGTAGCAGCGTGGTATGCATAGTAAGTGGCAACATTTAACAGGCCTTAACAGCAACACTTAGCAATTTCTGATCTGACCTATGTGACATTTGTTACTGTGTTTCAAGAACAAATTAAGGTCAGACATGTTTTCACTCTATGGCACATTTGCACTCAGAAGCCAGTATTAAATATTTAACCCATAAGCGATTGTTTGATATCCGTGGGAGTTCAGGTTCCAGTGTACGGAACCCACAGGCTGTGGACATTTATAATATCTGTGGTAAAACATTACGAGATAATGTCAGTTTCTTTTTACCCACAGACCTGCCGCCCTCGCTGAATCCGCTGAAGCCCGCTCCGTGCTGCAGCCTCCCCAGAATGCAGCGCTCCACTAAGGCACAGAAAAATTGTGCTCAGCTCTCTCTGCTCCTGGGGCATCAAAGCAGCTGCTCTGCTGAGTCAGAACCAGAGACTGTGCTGTTCTGACAGCGCCAGCCTTCGGCTCATCTCACCTGGTGTGTCCTCTCACTTATTGACTGGCACCACAAGGCGACAAAAATTGCATGTGGCAGAAAGTGAGCTTTTTGTCTGAATCGATCTAATTCCCCTTTTTCAAACCAAGAAAAAAGGACGAAATTGCTTTTAAGGGGGAGTCTTCTGCTCGGTCTCTTTGATAACCTTCACTCGGAAAATAATGGTCTTCAACAATATTGCTCTGGGTAAAAGTGATGGAAACACAAAATCACCTTTACCCCTTATTCAGAGCTTTTAAAGGTTGCTTTGCTTTGTTACCCATCGCCATCACACACTCTGCATTTTCTTTTGAGAAGAGTCTGCCAATCTGCCGATATCAAAGCTTTCCACTGTGCTGATGTCTTCACCACGTTCTCGTGTGTGTGTGTGTGTGTGTGTGTGTGTGTGTGTGTGTGTGGGTGTGTGTGTGTGGGTGGGTGGGTGGGTGGATAGATATGTATTCATCATCCGGGGACGACTCAGTGGCCACACAAGGGGAAAAACAGTCTCAGTCATCATCAAGTGACTGGTTATGGGCTGGGGATGATTACGTTTTTAGATATCATCAATCACCTTTTTGAGTTCAACAAGAGCTGTTGATGAAATGCCGATAAATAAGGAAGATAAATAGAATATAAAAACGCTACTTTGCTGCAATGTTCATATTTTGCTTTAGTGTAAAACTGTTTCTAAAAGGACAATTCCCCAACGGAGATCATTATCTGCTTTTTTTTTTGCCCATGAAATACTTTGAATTCTCGGTATCTAACGATCTACTCCGTGTGGCTAAAAGCCTTCAAGAACTCTAATTATCTTTGGTAATTAAAGAGGGTCGGGTCGACTTGTAGGGTTTGCCCGTTTTATTTTTTATGGACACAAAGGGAAATTAGCTTTTAGTTTTCAGTTTATTTACCAAGGATCAATTCACTCAATGACTCCCTGCAGCACCTGCTGTATACTCGCACAGTTGTAAACAGTGACACTCGGGAGCCGACAGTGGTGCTGCTAAGTGGCACCAGATAAGTGGTTAAATGCCTTGTTTGAGGGCAGGTCAACAGCAGGTACTGCGGTGGCTACTGCATAGTAATACTGTCGTATTACAAAATGCTGATGTGGTAATTAAAAAAATTAATTGTAATCCAAAATGAACACAATGTGATTTGAGTGCACATCAGCATTTATAACGACCAAGTTTTAGACACAAATTAACTAATTTCGGTGGAAGCCATATGTTCGGTGGATTCACTCAATATATCTGACTTGCTGGTTAATAATCTGGAAAAAACAATTCCCTAAAACAATGTTGCCAACTCTTTTCAATGGAAAGAAGCCTGATCGAAAAACTGGCCAGATGTTGATGGATGGCTTCATGCGCCAATGTGCATATTGTTGACTTCATTACCGAAGATTTTTAAAAATGAAAGGCAAACAAAGAAGGCAAGCTCAATTTGACCGACTCTAACTAGCATTATCGTTATCATTACCTTTATCTGCCTCTAATCTCAAAAACATTCATGAAGAAATAATGTTGACTCTCTTAAAGGGTGGGAAGCCCCTTTAAATGCCCTGCCACTGTCTGGTGTCACTGGGCACTCGCGTGTGCAAAGAGTTTAGTCTGTTGTGATATAGTATATTGATCTCGCCAAGGCCGACTTCCCAATGTAGATTGAGATTGTTCCTGTTCGTTCTGCGGGATGGAACCAGTGACTCTCGCGGCCCCAAACCTGCCACCACCGACTGCAAACCCGCTGAGAGAAACATGCCTATGCTTCATGCTCTTTTCTTCATGAACAATGGAAGAGAAGGGAAAATTGGGTTCGGCTTCACTGCTCTCGCTCAAGGCCTTCACATTAGTCAACCAAATAATTAACTCGGCGCTCCACAGCGTACCAGAGCATTGTGGGGTATCATTCCTATAATTGAAATTCACTCATAGAGGCTACATTTACTGCAAATCAATGTTTCACGTCTGCAGGACATTTTCATTTTGTCGTTTACACATATCGTACCTCAGGTCCGTGAATGATCAAACCCCATGTGCTGCTCCTGGGACTTGAGTCAGCAAGTTTTTTTTGTTTCCCCCCCGTTTTTTTTTTTTTTTTTTTTTTTAAATGTACTCAATATAATACTTTTTAGGAAATAATTCTGCCAGTTTTTAACTTTCAGGGCTACAACCTGAATAGTGTAAACATAGGGAGAACAGCTCTATGCTGTAAGTGTATGCACACACACTACTGGCTGTATAGAAATGTGGATACACCGTACTCCAGAGTAGCAACAGAATAAAACATCACAACAGAATCCTGTTCAAACACCAGCGAGAACTCATAAACCTGATTGTTATACTGCTTCCTTTTTCAGTTATTGTGTGTACTTAATGGGATTAGCTTTAAAGCAAGCACTCTTTTATTATGGCCATTAAGCAGCGGATTAAATATTTGCAAATGGCAGGAAGTGACTCTTGAAGCTTGAAATCTATCAAGGAAAATAAATGTCGCATACAAATCGAAGAGTGAAACCATACGGCACTCATGTTAGCTTGGTACATTCTGAACTCGCCATAATTAGTGAGTAACCTGAGTTTTTATGTGAGTGAATGTCAGCGTACTGAAAAACTTTCCCGGTCTGGGTTCTCTTGTTTTTAAAATGAAAATGTGATGATAGCATTTTTCAAAAAAACTCTTTTTGTTTGTAGAAAAGTGGCCGTCACAGCCTCTCGCACTCCACCGTATTTACAGCAGACATAATTCTGATTTGTTTTAACAGTAGCAGACCAGCTTTTTTCATTCAGCTTCCAAAAGTTAACTTATCTGTAGCATGAAGAGGATGTTGGCCAAAGTGAGATGCAAATAAGCTGCCGATAATGAGTCCTTTTAAGAGATGAAAGACCAGAAAGTTTGACCTGCAAATGGTATTGTACTAGTCCAAATCTCACCTACATTTTTACATTTAAAATAAAATCAGATTTTTGCACTTTTTTGAGAACATTTAACCAGATTTTTTTTTAAACCCCCGAAAACGTTAAATCTGAAATGTTTCTCGATAACTTTAAATATTCATGACTAAAAAAGAAACGTCTAAGACTTGACTTAACCCACTAAGTGTCATCACGTTCTGATTCAAATCAACCCCGACAGTGTTAAGTATGTGACAGAACATTTTTCCAGCTGAGCCCTGCCCATTTTGAAACAAACTGTAAGAGCACAGAAAATAAAAAAGCAATCGACCAGTAAAAATGAAACAACTCAAACTTTTGTAACTTTGGCAGAAAATAGTGTGTTTACGTAAGAGCCGTTTGGCGAGAGACGACTTTTAGACCCAATCGCTCCCAGGAAGAAGCTGATTGAGAAAATAGGTTGTGTGGGCCTCCATTGAAGTTACTATTTTATTCAATTTAGATAACTGCTGCAAACATTCGGTGCTCTTAGAGTTGTTTTTATAGCAGCGACAGCCACTCTCTCTTCACTCTGCTTCTTCTACACGTTGTAAACCAAAGAGAAAATGTGACGGTGCACAGATGTACAGCTTGATTCTGCCCTTTTGACACTTGAGCGGGCAGCGGACTTCATCGACAGATAAAACACTAGTCTTACATCTCAACCGGCCTCCAATTAAACTAATGGTACGAGTACAGCAGACAGCCCTGCTCCCGAGAAAATGATCGTAGGTAATGTCACAGTCATCTTTTTTAATCCTCTGCGCTGCCATTTATTTTGACTTTTTTATATTCCGTTGACATCAGAGATGAAGGGGCGGGACAAACGTATATTTCATGTCTGAAGGCGGCGGAGTAGAGTTTTGCTGAGAGCAGACAAAGAAAGCAGTAATGAGCGAGTGCCAGTGTGGTGCGCCTCCTTCATCAACAGCTCATTTCAAAGGGAAAACACTCGTGGCATTGCAACGACAAAAACAGCAATCCACACTGACGGGTAACATCTTTTAGTTTTCCACGTGTACACGGAGTGAATTTATCAGCTTGACATTCAGGCTTTGTTCTCAGCTCAATCTGTAGCTGTCAAACCACCAGTGACTGCTTTTGTTTATGAAGCGATATTTTTCAGTGAAGATGTTTATTTCATCCTGTGATTTTATTTTTCACGCTCTTTATACAAGAAGTGACACAGTGACAGCTTGAATATCGGCTTTGTGTAGAGGAGGTGCACGGAGGCCCGATGTGTATATGGTTTGTGATCTTTGTTGTGTTCGCTGACCCTTGACACAAATGCTTCAAGTGCTGAGGGTTTGAGGTTACTCTCAGTCAATGTTGGCTTCCAATTACCTCCCAATTATGCCAACGATGACGGTTAAAGTAATGATCTATAAAATTTAAATCCTGGGTGATTTGGTGACTCCCGTGGTTGCTGTGTCAGCAATGTACAACTGATGTGTTCGTAGACAGTGCAGCCAAACAAACTTGTCATTTTATCAAAGAGATCTGCTGTTGAAAAAGGGTGCTGCTTTGTTTTGTAGATGTTTTTCGAAGGACAGAACAAAACGTTGTTAGCTGCTTCATACTGTAACCATAACTGCATCAGCGCGTGATGTGAGAGGCGCTGGATTATTTACACAATATTTTCATATGTGTATTATTAAAATATTTTCATTTTTTAAATATGATGGTCACCCTCTGCTTCTGAAGAGTGAAGCCAGTGCGGAAGTCTCTTAAAACTTGATTTCTCTCAACTGACCAGCAGGAGGCGGCCACTCTGGTTGCAAAAATAATTCAGATCGTATAGAAGTCTATGAGAAAATGACTCTACTTCTCACTTGATTTATTCCTTCAGTAAACATTGTGAACATTCATGGTCTCAATCTCTAGTTTCAAGTCTTCTTCAATACAGCACGAGCTTCATTTAGTAAATCATGGTCCATTTAGACGATACAGCGTATCATTTAGGGCG